CCCAGCTCTGATTATCACTGGGACTGATATGTCACGGAGATGGGTCCTCCAATTCTGGGACCCTTCACGGAGCGAACCCGGTGGGGGAGGTTAGGGACCTTGGTTAAGGAACTTCTCGGAGGAACGAGTGACTCCGGACCTGGGGCCTGCGGATAAGGCCCCGTTTTTTTCCCGAGGGGGGACTCTCCCATCCTCTCTTGGCTCGCGCGAGGTGTGGAATAATGTAGCGCGTTATGGCCGGGCATTAGAGCGGCCGGTTCGGTTTTTTCGCCGGATTCCGGTAGCCGGATGGACTAGGAGGCTCTTCGGGATCCCCGGGAGGAGGGATGTCCTGGGTTCCTGGTCCCCGTTTAGTGACGAGCTAAATCGGCTCTGGTGGTGCTCGGGAACTTCAGCTTGCATCGTCGACTCTTGGTGTTGGTCTTGCAGGTATGGTCGGGACTTGGTCTTGGTCATGGGCAAAGACTGGAACACCAAGACCGACTTTGCTCGTCATTGTCTGGTTTAGGATCTATCCAGGACAAAGTGCAAAGACTGGAACACCAAGACCGACTTTGCTCATCATTGTCTGGTTTAGGATCTATCCAGGACAAAGTGCAAAGACTGGAGCACCAAGACCGACTTTGCTCATCACTCTCTAGGTTGATATGCAGATCTAGGGACTTTTTCGGTGATCCCAGGACCTTGCCTATCCCGATTGTCCTCTCTTCCTGGACGTCATGGTAGATCAGCTTTTAGCAGACGCTGAATAGCCAGGAGGGAGGTAAAAGGTGGAGGACACTTGGCGTGCGTCGAGCCCATCCGTCTTTGGGCAGAGTCAAAGATCGACTGTATAGATCGCGAGGCGGCGCAGTTAAACCCGATCCCATCGATGTCAATAGTCACGAGTCGAGGTTTCTCGGGACGCCCGGTACGTGGGACGAAATTAAATCGATATTTTACGACACCGTGAACCCGGGACGGAGGTCTCCTCTCACGGCGGAGACGTGAAAGGGACGCCATGGGAGTTCGTTCCCTCCTCTTTTTATCCCTCGTAACGCCTAAGTACCAAACACGTTCCATTTCCAGGAGAGGAGGCCTCGTTGTCTCGCCCGAGGTCCACCTGGAGGACCTTCAGGACTCTGGAGAACCTGGACCAGAGACTTGGCCATACTAGGCGTGGACCATAAGGTGATCCGAAGACGAACGTAAGGGCTGGTTCCCTTTTCCTATCTCTTATCAGGGAACCGAGTTCATCTCCGCGAAGGACCTTCGTCCTTATGAGAGGCTGACGGAAGGATTCGATTCCCGTCCCGTGAGAGAGGTTAGGGATGGCGTCGCGACCGGAGAGGATCCCCTGGAAGAAAGACCAGAGGTCCTCTCGAAAATCCCGAAAAACCCAAGGACCCTTCGCAGCTTCCTCGGCGGGTGTCGATGGGGATCGCCGCTTTTTGTCTGACCGGCGAAAGCGGCCGCTCGAGCTTACACCTTTCCGGACGGAGACAAAGAGGAGAGAAAAGAAAGGAGGGCCCTTTTTTTCCCGGAGGGGGATTTCGAGCCAGACCGTCAGGCGTCGATTGGTCCGTTTCTTTGGGGTTCGATTGGGGAGAAGGCCCCTCACTTGGTCCCCAGATCCGTCGGTTCTCTTTTTCATCTCGATGTCAACGGAATACTTTTAATTTACCATACAAATGCGCATGACACCTCCAGATACTTTTTTTTTATATTTTTTCCTCCGTCGCCGATTGATCGGTCTCTGGGGTCTGACCGGATGGAAGGGCCCATTAATTTTCTTTCCCTTATCAACGGAATACGTTTAATTTACCTTCCAAGTATGCACGCCGTCTCCAGAATCCTGCATTACTTTTTTCGTTCCAACATGTATGATCATCTATGAGCTCCCTCGTAAGTGTATGAAATTTCGGCAGATTTTCGCGTTTCGAACCCCGGAGACCAGGGGGATGCAGTCTGTCGAATCGAGAGGAGGATCGATGCGAACGGTTACCTCGGGGTGTTCCTTCACCCCTGTACCAATTTTTTTTTTTTACCCCGACCCCGGGCATGAGTCACATAATAGCTTCTCCACGTCGTGGGCTAATGATTTATGCCTAGGCCCGGCTCTCCGGGTTTTATGTATTTCCGTGCAAAGCGACGCTCCTCTCCCTCCCCGTTTCTCTTTTTGTGGGTCCTCACCCGGAGCGAGGGGCAGGCCCACCCCGAGGGGGTGCCGGACGTTAAAAAGGCATATCGCGATAGCCTCCCTGTACCTCGTCAATGTAGATCGATGTAATTAATGGGCACACATGGGTGCGAGTGAGGCCCCGATCCGGGGCCCGAGGACGCGTCAAGGATGTCGCGGGCCTTAAGACCTCCAGAATTTAAAGGAAGGGAAACCCCCCCCGAAACGCGTCCACCCTGGCACGTGTTAGTATAATATATTTGATCTCAGTCCCAAAAACGTGGCCAGGTCGTATTAGCATAGGCTCCTCTGGGCCGGATTTCGCCAGGACGTGGTGGGCCTTACGCTCTCCTGCTTCCAGGGGGAGGGAAAACTCCCCCCGGAACGCGCCCCCAGCGGCACGCGTCCGGTATAATTTTGCCGATCGCACAAAGTCCCGAAACCGTGCCTCTTCGTATTAGCATACGCTCATCGGGCCCCGATTTAGGGCCCGCCACGTGGCGCGCACGGGCCCACCCCGGAACGAGGTGTCGACGATCTCCAGACCCGGAATCGCATTACTCAAAATTTTCCACCGCGTCTTAAGACCCGATCCATACCACCCTAACCGCAGAACTACGAATTGGGCCCCAGGGCCCAAAAATTTGGGCCTCATCAGCCACGAATTAGGTTATATAACTCGAACCAGCCCACCCGCCCCATCCGATCAAAACTGACAACCCGTTCATCTCGACTACTTCTTCAAGGGTGGGATTAAAACCGCGACGCACCACCTCGGTGCTTCCCTGTCGTCTCCGATAATCCTATCGAGTCTCTTCTAATTAGCGGACACCTCTCCAGGTATTGAGACAGGTCAGTGGCGACAAACATCCCCATAAACCTACTCGGCTAAAGACATCACTGACCACGGACAACTCGCAGTCAGTCCTCACCTCCACCTACACGCTAAAATTACATTTCCGCAAGGCCGTTGACAAAAAATGAAAAAAACCATATCAACTTACACACACACGCTCTCACCATAAGGTCCAGGACAATCAGCCGGCAATCACGAACGTAGGGATACAATAGGCGGGATCGACGAGCTCCAAGTAAAATAAGTAAACCAAAAAGTAATCTTGTGATAGTATAGCTTTATTTTAGACTAGAACGGAAGAAAATNAAATAATAATAGTGATAATAATATTAATAAACTATGTACAAGGATGGTGGGGGAAGGCCGATAATGTGCTCGTACGTGTATGTACGCATGTCCGTATTATGTGGTGAAGAAGAGACGAGTGAAATGGAGCGTGTGTGTGTATGCGTGTACGTGTGTACGTGTATGTAGGTCGGATGTGGAGAGAAGCGAGAAGAGCGGAGCCACACCGTCGCCGGCCTCTAACGAAAAGGAAAAGAATCGAAAATGAGAGGGGGGGAGATAAACGAGGAGAAAAAGCGGCTTTCCGAGGCCGCGAACTCGCGGAACTCGAAGGGAGAATGGGCCCTTGGGCCCGTGGGCCTTGCGAGAGTGTGGCTGTCACGTGGGTGGTGGGGAGAGAGAGAGAGAGACTCATAAATATATAACTAGGCGCAATAAAACGATAATAATTAAAATTAATCGGCGACCGCGGGGGAGTTGGGGGGGTCGCGAGACGCGAGGGGTCGGCGCGGTCCCCGAATCAGGGCCCGTCGGGCCCAGGGCTCGAGGCGGGCCTGCGAGGTATTTACAGAGATCGGCCGATCGATCTCGAGACGACGACCGGCGGGAAAAACGATCTCGACAGGGACCAAGGAGCAAAGGCTGGCGAGGATTGGGCCAGGGGCCCAAGGATTGGGCCAGGCGGACTTCGGGCCCCGCGGTTTAACGACGGGCCGACGGCTTAACGGGAACCGAGATGTCGAGGCGAGTCGTCGATATCGAAGTGGGCCTTGTCTGGGCCTTTGTACATGATCGCGGTCGCAGGGTTTGGGCCCGACGTGGGAAAGGGCCCGGAACGACGCGGTCGACGCTCTTCCGTTGAACTATCCGCGCAGGAATTCGCGAGTCGGAGTCGGTCCCGTGATAAGGCTCCGTCGGGCCCGGTCAGCCCGAGTTGGGCCCGGTCAGCCCGCGTTGGGCCCCGCGTCGGGGCCCGCTCTCCATCCGGGAGTACTGTACACACTATCGAGCTAGGAAGTGGCGGTCTCTACTGTACAGCGAGTTAATACACGTGGCGAGGGTCTTCTCGCCGAATCTCGAGGAGCGGCCATTTTACTTTATACAAATCCAGCATCCGCCAGGAAGGGAGGGCCCGACGGTCCCCTCTCGTCCCTCCGCATCCTCTCCGGGTTCCCTCCCCTCTCGTTCCTGGCACTCTCGCGACCTCTCGCTCGGTCCCTTTCGCTCCCCTACGCTAGCGTAATCATCTGATAGGAACTTTCAGTATTGCCTAGCTCTGGATATATTATTCGTACTATATATATATATTCATATTTATATATATATATATTTATATATATAAGGCCCATATTTCTCGACATCTACGCGATCGCGAGAGTTTCGGTGGGCCCCCTACAGTATCACACGGGCCCAACTTAATAGTTACGCGCCATCGGCGAGTGTTCCACAGGACGTACACGACACATAGAACGTCCACGAGAGCGGGGTCCTAAGGCCCGAGGTCCCGAAGCGGTCTGACCGGGCCTTGAGGCCCCGTCGCTCCCCGCGACGCAACTGGACGACCGAGCGAAGACCTCTTCCGAGGCATTTCCACGTCCAGTTGCGGGGGAGTCGGAGTCGGGAGCTTCTAGGGAGGCTTCCGGGCCTTAAGGCCCCGCTCGGGGGCCCTTTACGAGTCTAGGAGGTCAGCCAGACACTCACCGGCCGTGGTGGTGGCGGCCGCGGGGCCTGCCGCTGGGGCGTGCTGCTGCTGCTGGGGCTGTTGCTGCTGGGAGTGGAACATCGCCGTGGGATGGAGGAACAAGGATCCGTACATCATGTTTTCGTCCTGCTGGCCGGCCTGGGGGGCCTGCTGCTGGGGGGCCTGCTGTGGCGGGGGCCCGGCCACCGCGGTCCCCGGGGGGATGATGGGCGCGCCCGGGGTCGGGGGCACCAGGCTGCCCTCCTCGACGGCGATACGGACGGACTCGATGTGTCGCCGCGAGAAGACGTGCTCCTGGAGGGGGGACTTGGGGGAGTAGCGCACGGAGCAGAGCCGGCATTCGTCGGGGCCCGTCGGGCCCCGATGGGGCTGGACGGCGGATCCCTCCGCCGGCAGGCCGGCCGCCAGCCGTGCCTTCTTTTCCTTGGCTCGCGCGTTCTGGAACCAGACCTGCAACCAGTGTTGGGTGAGAGGCGCGTCTCTTCGGGGTGGCCGGACGCGGGACGCGCGATCGGGCCCCGACGCGGATTCTGGGCCAGGCGGAAGGCCCGGCCGGACAAAGCGATCCGAGTCCCACGGTCACCGAAACGATCCCCCGAGGCCCAGCACGTCCCGGTGTTGGGTAAGCCTGACTTTCAGGCGTCTAGCCACGGGTCCGGGGTCCTACGGGACCCGAGGTGACCCAATGAGGCCCAAAACCGAACTCGGGGCCCGAGCCCCGGTGCCCGCGCCTAGACGCCGCCCAACACTGTCTGCAACTCCAAGGTCTCCCGGCTAGAGCGGGGTACCAGGATCGGGGCCCGACCTGCCGGCGATGCTCACCTGCACGACGCGCTTCGGAAGGCCGATCTCTCGGCCGAGCATTTCGCACTCGGCCATCGTCGGGGTCTTGTAGTCGGAGAACAGGGACTTCATCACCTTGACCTGGGTCGCGGACATTTGGGTTCGGTACCGCTTGCCGCCGGTCTGGCCGGTGCTGGCGGCCGCGGCTGCTGCTGCGGCGGCAGCTGCGGCTGCGGCTGCGGCCGCGGCCGCGCTGGGTCCTACGGGCCCCGCGGGCCCACTGCCCGCCGGGCCCTGGCGGGAGCTCTGCGTGCTGGAGGCGGGGCTGGCCGGCCCGCTCTCGTCGTCCAGGAACTCGGTGGTCTCGCTCATGCTGTCGTCGTCGCAGACGCTGCGTTCCGAGAGGTCCGTCAGCGGGCCGCAGTCGCTGCCGACCCGCGGGTGTCCGGTCCCAGGCCCGGCGTGCTGTTCTTCGAGGATGCCGCCCAGGGTCAGCTTCACGGGACGACTAAGGTCGACCGGTTTGCTGAGGTCGAGGGGCGACTCTCCCGCGTTGGCACCTGCCGCCTGGCCCGCGGCCTCCTGCTTCCCGTTGCTGGTGTGCGCCTGGAGCTCGCTGATGTAGCGCTTCATCGACTCCTCGTAGTACTTCTTCAGCGAGGCCTCCATCTCGGTGTTGAAGGGCGGAAAGAGGGGCGGCATCATGTTCGGCGTGCTGGGGTTTGAGGGCGCCGACTCCATCGAGAGCTCCTCGTCGGGGATGTTGTCGATGTTGACCTCGCCACGGGCCACCTGGTCGGCGTGCTTGCTGCTCAGGTGCGACTCCAGGGCGGACTTAACCTTGAAGAGCGCCGGGCAGAAGGGGCACCTTTTGTTGATCACTTGGCTGTGCGCTCGGAACTGGCCCTTCCTCTCGCGCGCCCTGGTGTTCTGGAACCATACCTGGACGACCCTCTTCTTCAGGCCCACCTCGCGCGCGATCGTCTCCAGCATCTTCCGCGAGGGGTTCGACTCTATCTGGTACTTCTGGTAGAGGTAGTCCAACTGCTCCGGTAGGATGGTAGTCCGCAGACGCTTATCCTTGGGCTGCTCGGAGTGCTCCGAGTTGGGCCTGCCTTCGCTGCCGGTGCCCTCCTCGAAGTCCTCGTACTTCCTCTTCCGGTCCTGCATCATGGCGATTAGGGGATGGGCGGCATCGGCAGCGACGCCGCTGGTTGCGTTCAGAGCCTGTTGCTGGAGGATCCCGAAGGGCGAATCCGGCGGGTACGCGGGCGGGAACAGGGATGGGTTCATGATATGTACCAGCTGGTGTTCGCGCCAGAGCTCGAACCTGCCGAACATCAAGTTGCACTTGTCGCACTGGAAGCTACCCTCCTTTGCCTCGGTGGGGCCTTGTTGCTGAGGCTGCTGTGCCTGGTGAGACTGCTGGGCTAATTGCTGATGGTGGGGCGGCGTCGCGGTGTTCAGGGGCTGCTGTAGTTGCTCGGCGAGAGCTGGAGCATTGGGCGGGTTGTTCGGGACCACGTTCGTCGTGGTCGTGGAGCTGCTGTTGCTGTCTTCCGAGCTGAGCACCGCAGCAACCTGGGCCGCGGCCGCCTGGGCTTGGGCGCTCCTCTTGGCATCCTCCTCCTTAAAGCAATGGGTTTTCTGATGGCGAATCAGCTCGTAATACCTCTGGAACACCAGCAGGCACTTTTTGCATTGGTAGTTCAGTCCCGGGGTCCTCTGGAACCGCCCAGAGCCGTCGTCCCCCTCGCGTCCCCCGGGTGTCACCGGCTCCGCTGCTGGTTGGTTCTCGTAGACCTTCCTGGCCTTCTGCCTAGCGTTTTGAAACCACACCACGATCACCCTGGGACTCAGGCCCAGCAGCTTGCTCAGGTACTCCAGGTCGTCGTCCTTCGGATAGGCGTTGTTCTCGAAGAACTCCTGCAGCACCTTGATCTGGTAGTCGGTGAACCTGGTGCGGTTCGCCCGCTTACCCGAGCTGCCGCCAGAGGAGTTGCTGCCGTTGCTGTTGGCACCGAAGGAATAGTCCGCAGGTCCCCTACCTGGGCTGAGAGACCTTTGAGGGGTCAGGGCCATGGCTGAGATGGCTGCCGGGACCACTCCTCCTGGTCCCGGAGTGGGGCTAGCGAAATTCTGCGGAGCCATCTTCGGGGGCAGCATCGGGGTTGACGGAGCGCTGGTGGTGGTGGGCCCGTGTGCAGAGACCTCGTGGTGGAGGCCAGAAAATACCGAACTCATGCTAAGAGCTGGAGAGTGCGGCCTGGACTGTTGACCTCCAGAGCTTCCTGGCGAGTGGTGCTGGGCTTCTTCCTGGTGCTGCTGATGCTGTTGGAGTTGCGTTTGCTGCTGGGGCTGGTGACCTAGTGGCGGTTCCGGGATTTCTTGCTTGACCTCGGTGGGCTGGGTCGTGGTGACGCTCCCAATCGACGGCGGCGGCGACGCCTGCTTGTTGGGGCTCTTATCATCCGAAGAGCTCCCACCAGAGACGCTCGAATTTAGGGGAGTCACCTTTGCCTCGCCCGTTTTTTCGTACTCCTCCAGGTTAAGCGTCGTGCTCGGTGGATTGTTGAAGTTGTAGGGGCTGTCCTTGTTGCGCTGCCGCTCCTTGAACAGGGTGTTCCGGAACCAGTGCTTGATGACCTTTGGCGGTAGGCCACTTTGTGCTGCCATGTCCTGGATCTGCTCCTCGCCCGGGGAGTTGTTGATGTCGAAGTGGGCCCGAAGGATCTTCAGCTGCTCGTCCGTTATCCGGGTCCTTGCTCGCTTCTGGGACGCCGCGGCGTTCGCCTGCAAGACCAACACAGACCGCGGTTTTGTCACGCTCCCGACCCATGTACAAGAAACATATCGTCGCATGGCGATGAGAAAAACCAAGGAAACCCAACCAGAAGTTTACCAGGAGAGCGAACGAACAAAGAGGAGATGGAAGATAGGCCGCGATCGGAAAGGACCAACCCTCCATTAACGAAGGACCAAGCAATAGAAGCAGAACCTGAGGACACCAGGTTAAGACTCATAGACAAACAAAGTAGAAAGAAATAATAATAAAGACCAAGCAGTAGGAGCGAAATTTATCATGACCAGATTAGGACTTACCGCAGCCGCCTGTTGTTGCTGGAGGGCAAGGTGTTGCTTGGCTAGGAGGTCCGCCTGGGCGTTGATGGGAGGATATGCCGCGGCAGCTCCGTCGTAGGGTGGCGGTGGGAGCATCATAGGAACGAGTGGTGGCTGCAGGTTCATCGCGGCCAGAGCAGGAACGTTCAGTCCCAGCGGCAAACCCATCATACCCATCATAAGTCCAGGGTACTGCTGGAGTTGCTGCTGCAGCTGCGAGGCGGCCATGGCGTTAAGGGCGGCCTGCATCTCCGACATCTGCTGGGCGAGGGTCATCTGTGCGTGCTGCTGGTGTTGGTGTTGCTGGTGCTGTTGCTGCTGCTGCGAGACGTGGTGTTGCGGATTGGCCGCGGGGGCAGTGGGCGTGGTAGACTCGGTGCTGGAGACGGGCGTGTTGCTGAGGGCCGGTGTCGTGGTCGGCGTGGTGGAGGTGGCTTCCGGGGTCCTGGTCCTTTCCTTGCCAGTCTCCCCGTTCTCCTCCTTTTCCTTGTCTCGCGGCTCCTTATCGGGGCTAAGGTCCTGCGGCTGGGCCGAGCCGGCGGGTGTCGAGCTCCTCGGTCCCGTGGTCGTTGAGGACGAGGTCGCAGCTGTAACAACAACGCTCTTCTTCTCGTATTCGCATTTAAACTGTTGGGCGTATTTCTCCAGGAACTCCCTCGGGACGAGATCCCGATGCACTTCCTCGCAATGGGCCTTCAAGACCCAAACGCTACTAAATTCTTTATTACAGTGCTGACAGGTGCTCCTGGTCAATTCGGGAATCCCGTCCTCGTCGGCGTGTTCCTCGGCCTCGTCCTCGCGCTCCTGGGCGGCCTGCGCCGCCAGGGCTTGCTTCTGCAGCTCCTGCTTCTGGGCCTCTTGCTGGGCCTGGTAGGCTGCGGCCGCCTCCTCTTCCTTCCGCTGCCTTCTTTGGTGGTTCTCGTTGAACTGCATCACCAGGTCGAAGCCGAAGCTCTCGAGCAGGTGCTTGTACATTTGCGAGGTCTTGTGTCGGGGCTGCGAGAGGATGTCTTGCTGCGTCTGGGGCCCGGGGGTCGTGGACACCGGTGGTGGGCTCTTCGTGCTGGGCGCCGTCGCGGCCATCTGCTGGGACGCGGCAAGCTGCTGGAACAGCGCCAGCGGGTTGCTGAAGATGCAGTAGAGCTGTTGGTGCGTCGCCAGCTGCTCCTGGTTGACGAAGAGCGCGCTGCACCGCGAGCAGGAGAGCATGTTCCCGGAGCCGGTACCCGAGTTCCCGGAGCAGGGTGGGCTGCTGGGACTGGAGGGTGGAGGCTGTTCTATGAGAGGTCTCCCCAGATCCAGCTGGCCACTTGCCGCCAGGTCGGGCAGCTTGCTGGACCTAGTCTGGTGCAGCACGCTCCTCATGTGGATGTCCAGAGTGCTCCCCTGGGAGTAGGCGACCTTGCAGATGTTGCACTTGTATGGTTTCTTGTCCTGGTCCTGCTGGGAATCTGGCGACTCGGTCGGGCTCGCGGGTGGCACCACCGAGATCAGCGTGTTGTTGTTGCCCTGCTCTTGCATGGCACGCTTCAGCTTGTGTAAATGGCTCACGCTGTTGTAGTGCACCAGGAGGATGTTCTTCTGGGTGAAGCTCTCTTTGCACACGTCACATTTGTAGGGCCGGTTCGGGTCCAGGTACTTCTCCATGGGGTAGGTCATCTTCTCGCCCTTGCGGTGCAACAGGGTCTTGTTGTGGCCGGTTAGGTAGCTCTGTCGCGTGAACGCGACTTTACACCGGTGGCATTTGAACTTCCTCCCAGGATCGTGATAAGAGTCCTCGGCGACAGGCTGACTGTTGAGGTAGTCCTCGAGCAGGCGCTGCTCCTTGTGCAGGGGCGACGAGTCGCTGGCGTCGCTCTCCTCCTCGTCCGCCCGGGCCTCCTCCTCCGCAGTCTGTTCCCCCAGGAAACCACTCTGCCTTCTAAGAGCCTCTTCGGTGAGAGCCTGAAGAAGCGGATGGGCATGAAGAAGGCTCTGCTTGTACTGGGCCAGCTCGTCCTCCTGGAGGTCCCCGTGCGCCGACTCCAGGTGACGCTGCAACGCCTGCACCGAGCGGAAAGACCTCCCGCAGAGCGCGCACTTGGTCGCGTCCCTGATGGCGTGGTACTGCGAGTGCTGCTGCAGCTTCTCCAGGGTCTTGAAGGCCAGACTGCACTGGCCGCACCGGTACTTGTAGACGTGTTTCTCGCTGACCGCCAGGGTAGGCGTCGTCGCGGGGTGCGACTCTCGGTGATGCTGCTGCAGCTCCTCCAGCGAACGGCAGACCCTCCCGCAGACGGTGCACCTGCTCAGCTCTTCTAGTTCTTCGGCCCTCTCCCCGGACTCCTCTTCCTGCTGCTGCTGGTTCGACGTCGTCGTGGTCGGCGACGTTGGGGTTGCGGACGCAGGGGTAGAGGCACCTCGAGGGTTGTTGTTCAGCCAGTGGCTCTGGTCCACCAGGAGTAGCAGTCGCTGTAGGCCGTCCGCGTTCACCGAGTGGATCTGCATCACGTGCTTCTCCAAGGCCGAGCGTTCCCTAAAGCTGTCCTGACAGAGCGGACACAACAGCTCCGGAGCTGGCTCCTCCTTCGGCAGTTCTGGCTTCTCCTCGGAGGCGTCCTGCACGTGCGCCACCTGCAGGTGCTGGCGCAGTTCCTCTCGGGAAGTTGGCTGATACGTGCAGTAGGGGCAGCTCACCTCCCCTGCCTGCTCCAGCTCCTGTTCCTGGTCCTGGTCCTGGTCCGTCTCGGGTTCCTGCTTGACCTCGCTGCCGCAATCGCTGCCCTCCTCGCGCCGCTCTGCAACCGGCAAATCGGTCATCGGTTTAAGCCTGAAATCGCGGTTAGGCCGGACTCCCTCTAAAACTCCCCCAGGTTCATAGGAATAAATCTCATCCGATCGATAAATTCCCCAGGGACCCGCGACACGAGTCGGCATTATCGTACACCGGGATAAAGCACCCCATCGGCACCGGCTGGCTTTCTCCTTTTTTACGCTGGACCACCTCGCGCCCGTGTATAACGCCGATCGTTAATAAATGGAATTCGCTAAATGGACAGTGATTTCTTAACCTCGCCCGAGAAAATGATCCTTCATTTCTGAGAGCTGCCGGCGCGCCGCCAGGAAATTGTAATGCGCCTCGGTATTAACAGCTCAAAGCTAAACAGGCGTGCGCTGCAATGGACTATCCACTTAATGGTCACGCCAGTAATTCCTTCCCAGGGATATTAGCTCGAATCGTTATGAACCGGCGGAGAAAGTAAATAATAGATACTCCGAATGCGAGGCGCGTAGCCGCGGCCATTGCCCGCCGAGATAGAATTAGAGAGAGAGAGAGAGCGGGCCCTAATTAAAAGCGGGCCCAACCGCGTTACTCGAACGGTCAATCGAGGGTTAGGACGTGGAAGTAGTGCATCGGGTCGAGCAAGGGCCCCTCCCGGAGGGAGCTCCGCGAGCTGGAAACGGGCCCGACCTGGAGAAAGTCCTAGCGGGCCCCGCAGATGCGAGGCGTGCGGTTAGGACGGCCGATAATGACACGCGTCCCAATAGTGCGGTGCCGAATCATCGCCAGCCGCGGAAACGCGAGGAAAAAGGTAACGTAGGGCCCATTGTGCCCAACCGCAGCCATAGGGGCCCGTCAGTTGCGAGGGGCCCGTGCGGCCCCTCCCTCGCGCGGGCCCCGCGCGGTTCAGCAAGTGTAGGGCCCACCGGCGTCTCGGACGACACACGCCGTAGCCATATGCCGCCGAAATGACGGTGATCCCTCTAATTGCGGGACAACCGATCAGCAAGCCTCATCTGATTAAGGTGATATGTACATAGGAAGAAAGTGAAAATGACAACGACGTCGCACTTACCGTTGTTAACGCAGGCGGCGTTGGGGGTGGTGGGAGTGACGGGGCTGGGTTGCCTGGAGGGTGGCACGTCGGGGTCGGGGACGACCTGGAAGACGTCGCCTATGTCGGTGTGGGGCGTCTCGTTGCCCTGGATGCCGGTGCGCCGATGGAGCTGGTGAAGCTGCTCCATCTGCAGGTGCCTGAGCGACCTGACGTGCTGGAGCAGGGGCAGCCGGTGTCTGGCGCTGAAGCCGCAGAGCGCGCAGTGGTAGAGCTTGCCGGTCGCGGGGGCGTTCGCCCCCGCCTCGAGGAGATGCCTCAGCAGAAGCGCGGCGGCCTCGTGCCGGGGGGAGGCAGCGTGGAGGGCGAGCTTGTGGGCACTGTTGGTGTAGTAGTCGCAGGCATGACAGCGCAACTGGGCCGCGCTGGTCGGCGAGGCCAGGTACTTGAGCTTCCACTCGTTCCTGGGCCCGCCCTCTTTGACGTGGTTGACGTGCTGCAGCCGCTGCAGGTGCTTGTCGGTCTTGCAGTGGAGCTGGAAGTTGGCCTTAAGGTTGGTCTTGTAGGAGCAGAGCTTGCAGACGAAGTGCCCGGCCACCAGGGCGAGTATCTCGCCCTCGCGGGTGCGCGTCCGGTCGGCGGTGAGATGGTGACCAAGGGCCTCCAGGGAGTCGGTGCCGAAGTTGTTGCAGACGCAGCAGTGGTAGAGGTTCGACGGGTCGGGGTCGGCGGGTTCGGGTGGAGGCTCCATGCTGTCGGGGGAGAGGCCAACATCGGCCCCCAAGCCGCTCATGGCGCCCATCCCGGCCATGCCGCCCATCAGCTCCGGAGGCAACTGGGGCGGCAGCTGACCGCCGGTCATCATCTGGATCAGCAGGGCCTGGTTGTAGGCCATGTCGGCGAGGGCGGCCTCGGCGTGCTGGGGCTTGTCCAGGCCTCCGAGGTGCAACAACTGCTCGAGCTGCTGCTGGTGTTGCTGTTGTTGGTGGTGGTGCTGCTGCGCCTGCTGGTGGTGGGACTGCAGCGCCGACAGGGTCTGCATGTGCTTCACGTTCTGCTGGAGCACGAGCATGTTGTGCGTGTGCTTCTCGCTGGTCATGTGTATCCTTAGGTTCCTGGCGACGTTGGTCTCGTAGTTACAGACGTCGCAGCGGAAGGTGGGCTTGGGCTTGCCCTGGCCGCCGGCCTGACCTGGAGCCAGGTGCGGACTGTGGTTCTGTTGGTGATGGGGACTGCGAGTGGGCATGGGTGCATCCTGGGAGGAGGACGGATTGCTGCTGCCTCCCCCAGCTCCAGCGCCCCCCGCGCCCGCTCCACCCCCGCCCTGCTGCAACTCCTGCATGTTGTTCAGGTGCTTGTCGCTCTGCATGTGGATGCTGAGGTTCCCCTTGGTCGTCGTCGAGTAGTTGCAGACCTCGCACCTGTACGGCTTGTAGCCGCAGGTGTAGGTCTCTCCGCGCGCTAACCTGGGGTGTGGATGCCCGGCGATGCAGTAGATGCACGAGGTCTCGCTTTCGGGGTGCTTCTCCTTCATGTGGATCTCCAGCGTCTCCTGGTACTTGTAGTGCCAGTTGCACTTGGGACACTTGAGGGTCTTGCAGGAGTTCCTACTGTGGATCCCGGCGAGGGGTCCACCGGGTCCGGCTAGTCTGCTGCTGGCGAGGATGAGTTCGCACTTGGGGCACTCAACCCCGCTGGGTCGACCCTGCATGTGCTCGGGACACACGCCTATCGTGGTGCCCGTCAGGAAATTGGGAGGTTGCTGGGTCAGCGCGGCATAGGAGGAGGGCGAGCCCTTCGTCGAGGGTGGCGGGGGCGACGCGTAGTGCAGTCCAGCTCCTGCATCCGGGGCCTTGGCCCAGGAGGCTGCGCTGACCTGCGCCCCGGCCCACTGGTGCTGCTGCTGATGGTTGTAGGCCAGAGGGTGGTTCGAGTGCGACGTGGGGGTGGTGGGCGTCCCCGGGGAGGGCCTCTGTTGCGGTTGCTGCTGCTGGGACTGCTGAGGACTACTCGGCACTCCGGGGGTGCTAACCGGGGTGCCGGTGGTGGTCGGCGCTTCGTGTTCGCTGCTTTCGACCCCCCTCTGCTGCGGCTGCTGCGGCTGCTGCTGGGGTTGGTGCTCCTGCAGCTGCACCGGCGAGGTCTGCGGGCACGTGGAACTTGCTACCGGCTCTAGGAAACTGACCAGGGGCTGCTTGCCCCTCCCGACCTCCTGGATGATGGCGGAGGCCGTCGAATGCGACAGCACCTGCCGCTCGTCCTCCATGAGCGTGAGCTGATGCTCGCCCTGGGCATGAGCGACGAAGCTCTTGGCGTAGCCGAAGCTCAGCTTGCAGATGAAGCACATGAGGATAGGCTTGACGGGCACCGAGGCGGCAGGCGGCGGAGGCGCCGCGGGCGGCGGGGGCGGCTGCTTGGAGCCCTCGGCGCTGCGGTAGCTTATCACCCGGTAGCTGTGCATCACCGGCAGGTCGGGGTTGTGCCGTTGGGCCACGGCCGAGCGCTGCTGCTGCTGTTGCTGCTGCTGCTGCTGGTGATACGCCTGGTGGGCGTAGAGCCTCGAGACGTAGTACGCGCTCGCGATCTGAGGGAAGACCAGCGAGTGGGGCACCGAGACCCCCCGGCCGTCCACGATGCACCCGTCCGGCAGGGAGTCGTCCTCGCTCAGCTCGCTCTCACCCTCGATGATGTAGGCCGAGCCGTCGGGGTTGTAGACGATCTTCCCGTCGAACTTCTCGACGTCCCCCCCGGTCGGGCTTGGGCTGGGGCTTACGGCCCGCTGCTGCTGCTGCGCCGCCGGCGGCGGCTGTTGCTGCGGCTGCTGCTGGTGCCCCGGCATGCTCAGGGTGGCGACGGTCGCGGCGCTCGTCGCGGTGGTGGTGTCCGCGATGGGTGTGGGGGTCGGCACCGCGTCCCGGGTGCACGGCTCCGTGCCCGAGGGGGGACTCGCCGTGCGCGGGTGGTGGGGCTGGTGCAGGGCTGCCCCGGCCGCCGGCGGGGACCCGCCCCCTCGGCCCCCCTCCTCCTCCGGGCTCATCTCCTGCTTCTGCGCGTACCCAGGGCTCTGGTAGGGCCCGCCGTGCTGATGCTGCTGATGCTGCTGGTGCTGCTGCTGATGGTGATGGGCCGCCACCAGCTGCTGGTAGAGCTGGTGCTGCCCGATCGCCGACGCGTGCTGCTGCAGGTGCGACGGGGGGATGCCGTGGTGCTGAAGGTGGTACTGGGGGGGATGGGGCTCACTGGAGGGCATCACCCCAGAAGTGAGGCGGGCGCCAGCCTCGCATCACCTACGGCTCTCGCGCCCGGGGACCGTCCGCCCTGACTGCTGAGCTCCCTCCTAGCTCCCTCCTGGCCGGCCGAGCCGCTGACCCTGGCGATGACGATCGCGCGATCCGTGCTACCCCGACGCAACCCCAGGTCGTACCTGCAACATGGAACCGGGGATCCGTCGTTAATTCACCCATCGCCTTATCTCTTACTTGTCTACGGTACTTTTCATCTCAACCCCGGAAAATGGTATCGCTCTAAAACCAGCTCCTACGCATTTTTGCGATTAACCTCTAAAATTAATATTATAAATTTTCATTTTTATCAACTTATCATTTTATCAAGTACTCTCGTGTACCGATTAGATGTTATATTTCTATGCTAGGTCTGAATTCGATTTTCGGGAGGGTGTTGTAAAATCCAACTAGCTTTTTAACCATGCACAGAAGGACCCCCTCGGCCTCTTAAACCGGGGACCAGTAATCCAGATTAATCCCGGCCGGAAGTCCCGTCAAGCTGAGCACACGTCTTGTCCGTCATCTTGTGAGCGCACAAGGCGCGCTCTGTCCTTGCTCAGCTGTGTTTGCCGGCCATCGAGCATCTTATCTATCGATTGGGTATCGAAGGGTCCTCTCACGGGGACCATCACCTCACTCGCAAGTCGGGGCTCGCTGCGCTTATCGCGCCCTTATCACGCGGCGCCGTGTCTGTTTGCCTTTTCCACGGGCCCGGTCCTTATTAAGGAAGGGTACGCGTCGCCCAGCAATAGTTGTCTCTTTCCGCTTTATCCTGTACAATGTGACGGGGCTTAAGGTGATATGAAAGTGTGATACCAAAAACTCAAATTGTACATAAAACATTTCCCCAAACTTTCCTTAAATCGGTACACCACGTTCCCAGAAAAGTTTCATGAACGATTAACTCCTCAGACGCCAGTTTAACATCCCCTTAATGGGTCCCTTGTGGGTATAGATGCGTATAAGTGTTCATAGGTGTCCATAGGTGGTCATGGGTATCCATAGGTGTATATAGGCATCCATAGGTGCCCATATGTGATCATAGTGGGTATAGACACGTATAAGTGTTCATAGGTGTTCATAGGCGTCCATAGGTGGTCATGGGTATCCATAGGTGTTCATCGTCACCCATAGGTGCCCATAGGTGCCCACGGGTATTCATAGGTATCCATAGGTGTCCATAAGTGATAATAGGTGTCCATAGGTGTCCCTAGGCATCTATAGGTACCCATAGGTATCCATAGCAATCCATAGGTGTCCATAGGCATCCATAGGTCCCCGCTAGGTGCCCAAGCCCAGGTACCCAAGTACGTGGGGGTGTACCCCTCGCCGTGACAGCCCGGGGCTGTACCATCTCGCGGAACATCCGCCTCCCCTCTCATCCTAACCGCGGCAGGCATTATGTACCTACGCGTACGGCATTACGCCTCCCCCCCTAGCTCCCCCCCTCTGGGCCTTATAATCCCGCGGATGCAAACTCCATAATCCGGTCGCCGTATCCCGCGGCATCTCCCGTGTGTATAATGCGCCACCACTTTGTCGTGCGTGCCCGAGGCCGCAGCCGGAAGCGGCGGGGATCGAACGATTGACGGATCGATCGGTACCGATCGATCGATCGAGGCGCCGATCGCACGACGCGGAACGATTTCTCATGGAACATCTCCAGGTGTAATCCCCCGTGTAATTGAAACCGGACTTTTTTTCCGACCGTGCCTTTCATCCCCCCTGATCGGCTGTCCTCCCTCCCCCTACCCCCCCCCCCTACGCCATTTTTCAGATATTATGCATCGAGAATTTATGGATCTCCGTGTCCGGTAACGAAACGATCGTTACCGACACCCCGTAGCTCGTTTATAGTCGCGGGGAACAATCTCGCTCTGTCGGTACGCAAAGCGGCCGTATTAAACGAGCGGTAAGTGCGTGTTTATTGCGCACGGGCGAACATGTTGCAAATACATCCATCGCCGTTTACATAACCCTCGGGTGAGACCGGCGTGCGCGCGCACCCGAGGAACGATATGTGGCTAACTCGGGGGGAGGAGGGAGGGGGGGTCGAATTTCAGAATTTTCTGGTTCCAAGGAAACGACGTATGAAATAATTGCGGGATCACGGAGCATCGCATAAGGCGATGGAAATTTCTTTGGGTGAATTGGGCCTTATACGGGGGGGGGAGGGGAGGGGAGGGGAGGGATCAGGGGGAAATCGGGCCCTTCCGTGCGCAGGGTGCAGGTGTCGGTGGAGGGCACCGCGAATGGCTCCCCCCGAAAAATGGCCGATGGCCATCCCGCGATTCTTTGTCGGGGCCGGAAACGAAACCGATGGGGCCCTTTGTGAGGGTCCAGGAGGAAGAGATCGGGCCCCGGGGGCCACATGACGATCCCGGGGCCTCGGGACCGCTCACGCAGGGGCCCCGATATACGCAGGAGACGCGCACACAATTATCCCCCAATTATCTCGTACGCGTCTCGTTATTTATTGAATATGGTGGCTGCTGCTTACCGCGCGCAGGCGAGCTCGCGTGCACGTCGGGGAAGAGGATCGTCGGGAGAGAGAGGGGGGGTGGTGGGCCCGACAACCTGTAAGGGGCCCCGGGGGCGCGGATGGGCCCCATTGTGTGTCGGTCCGCCGCATTGTGTCCCGGCGTAGGGCCTCGCCTTTTCGCTCCGGGCCGATTTCGGAGATACCGGAAGCTGGAGAGAGTCGGAGACGGAGCAGCGGTTTGGGCCTTAGGGCCCAAGGCGGGCCCGGGGAACACCGTCCGACGTATGCCTCGCGTTGCGTCTCCCCGTTCTCGCGGCTGATCCTCGACGTGACGGTTATCCTCCCGAGTGAGGCTCCCGGGGCCTTAAGTCGGGGCACGTAAGGCCCCGTCGGGTCAGAGCGATTAGTCCGCCAAGGTCGGGCACGGGCCGCGCGGCGAGTATCGCTCGGATATCCGGCCGCGGCCGGATATCCGGGGAGGATGCTCAGCCTTAGTCCTTTTGGGCCCTACGGCGGGATATCGGGGCCCGGTCCTTTCGACACTCCCGATCGGCCGCCGCCCACGGCTCGATATCCCGGGGCCCGGTTTTTCCCCCCTCCCTTCTTACCCGGTGGATGTCCGGAAGTTAATTACACGTGGATTATCTCGAGGGGTCCCCGGAGGGTGGAAGTGGGGGGGAACGGACCCCGCGTAATTTACGCGGAACATGGGTTTCGGGGCGTTTACTCCATTTCGGGGCCCGTGGTGGAGGGCAGGGAGAGATGGGCCCCCGCTCACGAAGCTGGGCCCCGGTTTCGAGAGCTTCTTTGTGATATCAATTAAGTATGATTTGCCCCCTCCCCCGGCTCCTCCACCCCGGTGGGCCCTCGCACTCCCACTACGTGGCCCTCTCCCCCCCGAAGGCGGCCGAAGTAACCCGAGTTTAACTCATTCCCTTATAATTTCCTCTCCCAATGCACCGTGAGAAACTCGACCGTAACACGCACGGGGATTCCTCCGTGCGGCGGTCACCGATTAGATTTCATCGGATTTCTTTGTAACTCCGGGCCGCGGACTTTCGGACGGGGGGGCAATTAGCCCCCTTTTCCTCGCACCCCAATTAACCCCGTTCGTGAGTCGAGGTGATTTTCGATCATCCTCTCGAGACTTTCTTCGCCGCGCCGCGCCACTAGCGACCGCCCCGCGGTCGCGCCGCCATCTTGGCTCGCCCTCGAAATCCCGTCCACGCTCGACATCCCTCGGTTTCAACCCCCTCTGTCGATGATTTCTGAAATCCTCCCTCGGAACGATCCGAAAAATCCAAGGATCGATCCTTTCCCTCCCCCCTGCCGCTCGTGAGGCGACCTCGAAATCCCGAGGTGAGCGTTCTTCGCCGCTCGCGGTCACGACCGGCGGGAGGGCGCGGGGGAACCATCGTGGCCGATAATTTTCACACGATTTCGAGGATCGGAGGCCCCCGGGAGGCGGCGCGAGCCTCCGAGAATCCCCGTTAATGGCGCTCGTTACATACCCGGGTACCGTTACGAGTCGCCCGACGCCCGAGGAGGAGCTCGCCGCGCGGCGGCTTCCGCGTCCCGACGCCGCTCATTAACCCGCTCGCTGATTGATAATTGTCGGGTCGGCCCTTCTTTCGGGGTTCCCCCCCTTTTTCCCGACCGTCGCGACGTCGAAAGGGAGGCACGGGAATCCGCGGAAACGATTAGCCGTCCCCGGGGGACACGTTGAAATCGGAGGCGCGGGGCGCGGGGCACGCGGCTTTTTGCCTTGACTCGAGCCAGCCCGCGACGCAGGGGCGGCTAATGACAAAATCAATGCGACATAATTAGACATGGCGGCTACCTGGCCTACCGGCCTGCCCCCCCCTGTGGTGGTGCCGCCACCCCCGGGGAGGAAGGGAGACGGAGATGCCGGGAGTGCGGCCGAGCGAGAGGGAAGCTCGCAGTGGGGAATTATTGTAAAAACATCCCTTAATGTGATCGATACGGCTTCGTTGCCGGCTTGCATCGCCACCGGCAACGACCCCCAACGATGCCGCCCCTGCCGATGCGACGTGGCGTTCTTTCACCCTCCGGAGACTCCTTCCGAGGATCCGTCGCGATCGCCCGTTTTTACGGGAGATCTTGCGTAACAACCCCCGAAATATCTCGGTACCATAGGCCCTCTGACAGGGGATTACCATATTTTTTGACATTTCAATGTTTTACTCATGTATATTCAATATGTATATTCAATACCTTCACATCACCTTAAACGACGGATATTTGGTGAAAGGGGCCCGGAACCCCGAGGGGGTTGAAAATCCTCTTTACCCTTTGAACACGTAGCCGTTTCGACTTAAGGGCGAAATTCGTCTGACCGTGCGCGCAATATTGGACCAAACGTCCGGCGTCTGTAGGCGCTCTTAGTAGCCAAAGGGTTAAAAAGTGGGTCCTGGGAGAGGTCAAACGCCCGAAGACGGCGTTTGGCAGTTCGCGGAAAGGGTT